TGAAAGAACTGTGTAACAACCATAAAACTATGGTAAAATGTGTGTATAAAACACTTCTGAATGTGTTTTCATTTAAAGGCAATTTCWCTACCTTACATGATGGTACAAAAAACTGTAAAAGTTCAAACTAAAAGAAAAAAAAGGAGGAGAAGAAATAACTCCTGTGAGGTTTCTTCTCTTGTAACCATCCATCATCTGCCCAACTTCATCTCTTCCTGTAAACCTCTCCCCTTCGTTCTTCGGATCTGAGCTTTTGTGTCTATAACAAGCATTTCCTCTTCACCCCCCACCACCTATTCTATCACTCTCACTCCCGTTCCCCCCCACCACCACCACCACATCTCCGCTCCTTTCTTCCCCTCCACTCCGGGTGCAGAATTGGAGAAGCTTATCACCTAGCAACCACAATTAAAGTACAACAAGTCAGTGGCGGTTTGCAGCCACCGTTTGGAGCAAGCTTTCGAACAAACCTTTGCATGACCGACAGCTTTTAGAGAACACAGAGAGTCACGCAGGGTGGCAGGGGAAGAGAGCCGAAGAGTTGGAAGTTGAACAGGTGAAGCAGCTGTTAGGAGTCGCGATCAAATCGCCGCGCTGAGGACTTTAGGTTTTGATTAAAAAAAAGAGAGAGAGAAGCAAGACAGGGAGAGTGGAGTGGCATTAGACTCAACAGGTATGTGTGCACGCTGGAATTAATGGATGCAAAGTGGATTTATTCTGCAAATATAATGTTGTGTGTTTGTTTTCCACTTCTTGTGCATTTAACTCTGTAAAAAAGGAAAAAAAATCTTCTCCTTATGCCTTTTTTGTTTGCTCATGAGTCAGTATCTGGGGGAACACATGCTAAGCAGATTATGCTTTTGAGGCTTTTGGCAGGAAAACAGCTTATGGTATACTCTCCGGGTGATTTCACAGCTGTATGGGAATGCCAAGTTYCTGTTAGTGCCTGCTGTAAAAGCATTTTGCTCACACACCTGCCTCCATGCACGCTCGCACAGCTTGACGCAGCGAACAAACCTGTAATTTAATAAACTCAGGAGGAATGGCTAATGGCATGATTGGTTCAATGGAAATTAGTGTTACAGACTGCTGCAATCCGTGCAATCCCCTTCATGTACTTTTCAACATCTACTGCAAAACATAGTCTTTTAAGTTCCTCATGTTCTGATCTACTGTATAAGTATACAGCCTGATAATCTCTGACAATGCTCAGCGAGATTAGGATTACTAAAATCAGAAAATGTGTGTTGGGTCCTGCCATCGTTGTCTTTTCAATGAGTCAGGATTTCTGAATGAACAGGTAAAACATGATGATTGATGGTCTGAGTTGAGTCATTCTTTCATACCTTTGATAAWGCTTGTACTGCATTTAGTTGGGAAAATATTAAACTGTAGTTGGGAAGTTTTATAAGACATTGTAAAGTTTTAAATATCACATCACATTTAAGTAATCTTTATCCAAGATGCCACCCAACCATAAAAACTATGTTACATAATTTTACCTACTTGCCTTTAGGTCAGTGATATACCACACATTCAAACAGTAAAGGTGTCATAAACTGGTGGATAGAGGACCCAAACGCAGACAGCCTGAATGCTCTTTAGGTTACCAAAATATTTTTTTAAAACAAGGGGCAGCTTTGGTGCAGTGGTACGGCAGCTGACTTGGGACCAGAAAGTCACAGGTTTAGATTCCCTGCCACATGTTGTGGTGTCTTTGAGCAAGACACCGGTTCCCTAACTGCTCCTTGGGTGCATAAATAGCTGCCTGCTGCTCCTATTTGGTGTTTGTCAGATGTGATGGGTTAAAGACGCAGCACACATTGTATGAGAACATGCACTGATGATAACACATAGTACACTTACATTTAATATTTAAGCAGCCATCAACACCATATGATCATTTCATCAATGTTGATTTTTGTTTTGTTTTGTTTTACTGTTGAATCGACCCAAAAAAACAACTTTTTAAAGTCCTCAAATGTTATATTTTAGAAACAGTTTCCAGAGGGAAAAAACTCTTAACCTTGCACTTTCAGGCAAACAAGGCTGATTAACAGGAACACGCCACAAGTCAACTATRAGGTGTATTTGACTCATAATAGATAAGATGTGTGGGAGGAAAAGCTTTGGTTTTTGGTGTTTACAGTTTCTACTCATGGTGTAGAGCTCTRCGCAACACATCTTGTTTCCTGTTTTTGGTGCATTTTTGTAGCAGCGTTACAGCATCCCATACAGACCTGGCATTACTACTACAGCGTTTTGGGATGTTCTCAGTGTTTCAGTGTGGATGAAGACATTTTTAAGAAAGTGTTGTGTTTTTTTAGGATATTTTTCTAAATGACAAAAGAAGATTATTTAAGAAAAATGTATTTCTTTGTGGACACGACTCATGACTAAATAAAATAACCCCAAGAAACCTWACAGGCTAGTTTCCATCACTAAACAAAACAGAAAATCAGCGGTGAAAAGACAGAGCAGTACAAGTACGGTGACGGTGATTACTAAATAAAGGGCAGGTGAGTTGATTAYATATTGCAAACAGGAGAGAAAATGTCCAACGGGAAAACTAGATATCATCAACTATGTCTACAAACAATAAACCCAAGAATACTAGTCATGAACAAACGCAAAACCCAAAAACCGAACAATGCAGAGACATCAGGACAAAAAAGGTCTAGAGTTCATTCAAATGTAACATTTGCATTTGAAAGCGGCCACTCTAAAAACAAGGTCGAAGGAGCTCTCAGTGAAAATGTCAACTCAAAGCACTGCAAAAACCAAATAATTCATTTGAGAGATTAATCAGATTTGACTCATGATCAAAACGACTTGTAGTCCACAAAGGACAGCAGCGGTGGAAGATTGCAGGAGCTTGTCCTCTTCAATCAAAACTCACTTTCACAACAATCAGCTCTGACAAAATGAAGAGCATATTCCAAARGGAAGGTAAATCATTATACGAAGGATCCGAATTAGGAGAAAATGTTCAAGGTTAAAAAGCCAGATTAGACTTGGTCTTAAAAGTTTGTTTATTTGATAGTATAGAAACTCAGATCTAACTTTAGCAGAGGGATGGGGGGAAAAGAAAACAAGTCTGACTCATGGTCCGAAGCACACAACCTTATCTGGAAACATGTGCAGGCAATGTGATAGCATGGACTATCGCATTGGCCATGATATGACAGAGGACAGCTGAAGGAATTCTGAATTGAGATAAACGGTCTGCTCAGATTTACTCGAGTGCTGTAAAGTGTATTAAACAGCACTTCACAGGGAAGACGGAACAAAACRTAAAACAGAAGCAATATGGTTTTGAAGATGTGTAAAAGTGAGACTTTCTGCAATGAGGTCCCAGACATCAATCAAATGTGATCAACGAAAGATTTAAATGGCTGGAAATGAACATTTTAATTATGCGTAGGCTCATTTGCAGTGACGCTTGAACCTCGGAACAGATTTTAACATTTTTTTGTTGTTTTACTGTAGCATATTTGCTGACATTACAAAAAACTGTGTCGGTTCAAATATTTTGAAATCGACTACAATTTAAAATAATTGTTTAAAGTCAGCTATTATTCCATTGCCAGTCATTGATTCAGCCAGTTAGATATTCCAGAAGTTGCCCAGACCTTTCTGACAAATGCAACCCACCCACCTTCTGTTCCCCCTCAGGAGAATGGTACTACCTGAGGGCTCAGCAGGAAAACTGATGGGGTGAAAGGTCACCCCACCCTGTGTGCCATATCCTCCCCCCGCCGGGAGGATGAAACCATAGGAGGGTGCCGTATATGCACTGAGGAGTCAGATAGTGGCTAAAATGTCAACGTTCACACACTCAGGACGTCAGAGCCGTCTCTTTATGATGAAAATGTCATCACGGCGCACAGACAGCTCAGAATACCGTTTGTCTCTGATGTCAGATTGGAAATTCAAAAGGGGCGGTGGGGGGGGGGGGGGTGCATTTTTGTTCCTTATCAACATTTGATGGGATGCTTTTTTTTTTTAATTGACCGTATATATTTCTGAGCCAAACAGCCACTTTGCAAATCCTCTCGCTGGTGCCATAACTTTACTGGACGAGAAGTGATTGACAGGATTATCTCACTTTGCCTTCAGGTTCAATTTCTCCACCAAGTCCCAAGATCAGTGGTCCCCGGGCCCGCCTCCCCATTTGGTCCGGCCCCCAGAACAATACCAGAGAGCATTTAGTTTTTTTTTCATAAATGTGTATTTATATTTGGTTATAAAGTTGGACTTTTGCAATAAAATGTTACTTAGTTATGAACTATTTTCATTATTAACTATTAATTAGTAACTAGTGGGGGTGGGGGGTGGGGGGTGGTGCATTATTGGATTCGAGCTATACCCGGAAGTTTACCAATGCTAAACAAATCAAACGCCACRTTTTCACTTCTAAAACGTCTGCAGCCCACAGGACAGTGACGTTGGCGTGCGCGCTGGATGTGCTCAGCGTCTTTGTGTCTCAGTTCTCTCAGTACGGTATGTCTCAGCATGTGTCACCACTGAGAGCCTCCGCAGGATGCAGACAGCAGGAGGATGCTATTTGTGTGTCAGCACCTGTGGGTGCAGGTGTAGTTTGTACCGCATAACGTCAGAAAAGATTGACTCTACCAAAGGGATGGATTCAAATATCCCCCTGATGAGCAGCGCTGCAAGGGAAGAACCGTTGTTTTTATTTATTTATTTTTTTTTGCACTTTCAGATTCGTAACTCTGTTCACTTCAGCTGGAGAGAAATGGCTTTTAAAAATATCTCCAGCTTCCTCTCCCTTTCTTTTCTTTTTTTTTAAACTACAAATATAAAAGCTTCCAGTTGCCAGCTTCRCAGTGAGCTGGTTTCTCTGTAGCCGTGTGAATCTGCAGGACAGTCGAGGTGTGGAACTCCAAACTATCTGAGCTCCCTGAACTGTCCCATAATGTGTTACATGAGAGATCTTCTCATGCTGATTCTTACGTTTTCTTCTTTTCTTTTTTCAGAGTCTGGGTTCTGCAGACCGAAAGGAAAACCAGAACAAAAAGTAAGTGTCCTTTCACCTGCATCTTCATCACTCTGACCATCCCAGTGCTGGCTTTGGCAGGCAACCAGAACMAACTGTGGCCTCATAGTAAAAACTAAACCTAATTACTAGGTCTGATATTCTACACTGAGCTGTGTCTGCTCGAGAGTTGTCCTTTTAATCAACTTTAAACAGCAGAGTTTTTAAAATATCRTATCACTGCCAGCCTTTTTGCTCTTTGGAGATGTATAACCATGGTAACCTATTAAATTAGTGTCCACACACACTAATAGCACAAAAATGGGTAATTTAGAAAACATTATGCCAAGCAAAGTGAAGCATCACACACACACACACACACACACACACACACACACACACACACACACACACACACACACACACACACACAGAATAGGTGTTGATATGAGAGTTGCTGAGATCTTTGTTTTTTTATACATCAGCATTACGTTGTGGAAAGTTTAGTAGAGTTCAGTTCTTGTACAGTACATTGTTTCATTAATCTACTTATTCAAGATTTTGACCTCATTCATTTGTGCGTTCAAGTCAGCAAATTGTTTTGTGTGTGTTAGTGTGTGTTTGTGTGTGTTTCCAACACAAACTAAGGTTATAGGTCAAACCCATAATCCAGTCCACAACAGTAATACTTCTCAGTTTTGTTAGATTTTCAGAGCACCACTCTTTGGATTAATCAGAAGCGGCTCAAAAAAATAAAACACACAATTACTAGAAAACAAATGTGTTTTACAGTTTTGAAAGTCACGTCTGTGAACTTTTTTCAGAGCTGCAGTTCTCTGTGAAAAGGAAAAAAATAAAGTTTTGTCAAGGYTCTTGAGCATTTTAGTGTTACTGTGATGGGGAGCGTTGAGTATAATTCCTCAGCTGGTTTCTTGCTTTTACTTTTTCATGCCACTGTTTATCTCAGATTGTATCTCTGTTAGGTACAGATTTTTGTTATTGTTGCTGGGTTGCTGTCATGTGACCCTGATGATGCGCGAATGTCAGATGGGGTGCAGGAAGTGATTTGCTCAGGTTCAAAACAAAGCGAAAAAGATCACATTGAATACGCTAATGCCCTAAATGGGCTAGCGCAGACGAGATATATCGYGAAAAAATCTGCATACGTTTAGGATATGATCCATATTGTCTTGATAAAAAATGACTTATTATATAATATGGAGGATTTACCTGGCGAGTTGATTGTCATAAACCACTATCTGGTGCCGCAGACCTCGTGTTATACGACGAGCCAAATGAAAGCTTTCAAAAGCCTCGAAGCTACAATTTTTTTTCAGGTTGGGTCAAACATTTAGGATCCAAAGAAGCTTTAAATGGCTGTCGACTTTTTTCTGCCCGGGTGAGGAGTGGCTTGTGCTATAGGCTAATTAGCCTATGAAAACAATGGTATCACTAACGCTAACAAAGAGTTAACCCTGTTATTTCTACTGTATATGCTTGGATCTACTTGTAAATAATTTATTTAGCTTTGGTAAACCCAAATTCAAGTAACTATCAAGGAAAATGTCTGAAAATAGGATTTAAATGATACTATCCTTATCTGCTAGAAGGTGGTCGCTGCAAACTCTTGCATTGTTCTTTTCTGCACCTCCTGCTTTTAGCCGTAGATTGTTGATCCACTTTTGTCTTTTTTTTCTGTAAGTTTTTTTTTTATTAACTCCCTACTTTTTGAACAAAGAAAGCTTTTATATTTTTCCCAATTAGAGCGACTGCAACAACCATACACGACACAGAATTTAGGCATTTTGATGCTGAATCAGCAGAAGGAAACAGGGCTGCATTTCATAACGTCGATACTGCCATCTGCAACCCAGCAATAACAGCAAAAAAGTTTTAGACACATATTCCTTAGAAACAACCCAAAGACTGTGCACACATTCTCTCAATTATTATTGTCTTTAGAAATTCCTTTCTGTCAGTATTCTTTACTGTCCATTTCTGGAGGCAAAACTAGGACAGAACATGTGATATGATTATTTCTGTATAACAGAATATACTGTGTAAACTAAATATTTAATTATGTATCAAGCACTGACTGAAACCTTTGTTTTTTATTTTTCCAAGTAGCCAAAGGTGTGTTCACTCATTATCCTGACTATACTGTATAAGTATATTTTATTTCTGTAAGTGTTTATTTAAATTGAGGTGCAGATTTATTGATTAAAAAATAATTCAGACAAAAATAATTTGCCTTAACCATTTCTTTTTCACTAAAAATAATTTATATTTGACCATAACTCAGATCCTTCAAACTGAAGTTCTATGGAATGCTTAGAACCAAACATAATCTTTTTGTAGATAGCTCTGTGAACGAGCATATGTCAAAAGAAAAATAGTTCTGACTGAATTACAGAGTTTACGGCTGGTCAGAGTGGGCTCAAGAACAAAGAGGAATGATATGAAATGTAGCAGTTCATACAGTTACAGTGCCGTCAGGAAAATATATACAAATATTTCAGCAGAAATGTATTGATATTCCTAGAGGACTGAAACTGACATAAATAGAAATAAAAGCAGAAACATAAAAATGGACCAAAAATATATAAATACACCTAAAATGGCGTAGCCAAGGTGTTGAGGGCATCTGTTTTGGCGACCTTAGGATTGCATCTCTGCTTTTTGATAATGTGGTCYTATTGGCTTCATCAGATYGTGATCTCCAGCTCTCACCAAAGTGGTTTACAGTTGAATGTGAAGYGGCCRGGATGAGGATCAGTGCCTCCAAATCCGAGACCATGGTCTTGAGCCAGAAAAGGGTAGCATGCTGCCTCCGGGTCGGGGAGGAGGTCCTGCCCCAAGTGGAGGAATTTAAGTGTCTCGGAGTCTTATGTTATGAATGAAGAAAGAATGGAGTGGGAGGTCGACAGGCGGATTGGTGCTGCATCTGCAGCGATGCGGGCGCTGTACCGGTCTGTCGTGGTGATGCGAGAGCTGAGTCTGAAGGCGAAGCTCTCGATTTATCGGTCGGTCTACATTCCTACCCTCATCTATGGTCACGAACTTGGGTAGTGACCAAAGGATTGTTTGATTGATGATGCCTTTATTGTCATTGTACATTGTAAATTACATTTAAGAACACCCATTCAAGAGAATGAGAATGAGATCATGGACACATGCAGCCAAAATGAGTTTCCTCCGCAGGGTGTCTAGGCTCTCCCTTAGAGATAGGGTGAGAAGCTCGGTCATCCAGGAGGGAACCATGTTTCCATCCAATTTTAATTCAAATTTTGAGCAAAGTTTTAAAATTTCGCAAAAAAGAAAAAAACTAAGAAATACAAATCAGACGTGTTTCCATCAACTGGCTTGAAGTGAATCAATTACGTCAGACGCATGCGTGTAGTAAACAGGAGGTAAAAGTCTCATCTAAGGACCTAGGAGAGAAGTTATCAGGAATGTGTTGCTACCATTGGGAAAGTTGTACTTATTCTGTCATACCAACTACAGTATTTCTGGTGATGCTACATGCTGTCTGGAGACGGAGAGAAAGAAATGCAATTTTCTTCACGTTACGGGAATAACTGAGAATACGCCAACAGTGGGAGGAGGGTCCAGCTGCAGTCGCGGGTGCAGTCGCTCTGGTACTGGTACCGGTACAGTTCAGACAGCGAGAACAGCTGACTAGCCATGTGAGTTAAATGTTTGCTAAGTCAGAACTTGTTCAGCAAATGTGTTTCCATCTCTCCTTTTGCGCATTAACTCTTTTTTGAAAAAAACAAAAAAACAAAAAACACCTCATGTGAGCGTATCAACTACTATGCAAATTAGAGGAAGTTTTTTCGAATCACTCTGTGTCCATCCACCCTTTCTGATGCAATACTTTAAAATGTGCATTAAAAAACGTTGATGGAAACACGGCTGGTGAAGAGCCGCTGCTCCTCCACGTCAAGAGGACCCAGTTGAGGTGGCTCGAGCATCTGGTTAGAATGCCTCCGTGACGTCTCCCTGGTGTAAGTTTTAGTTAAACCTAAAACTTACACATCCCACTGGGAGAAGACCTAGAGGGAGACCCAGGACACGCTGGAGGGACTATATTTTTCATCTGGCCTGGGGACGCCTTGGGATTCCCCCAGAGGTGCTGGCCCAACTGGTTTGGGAGAGGGAAGTCTGTGTCTCTGTGAAAACAAACGAATAAACGAACCTAAAATACACCCTATTAAATTACTATTACTATTAACTTTACCTCATGTTTTATAATTTAATTGACCATCGTATTAAATTTTCCAGCTTAATTCCATGAAAATACAAATTTAGTTAAAAACAAAGGCAAGGAGGAAAACACTTACTTGTGCATTCGTTTTATGTTCTAAACCTTAAGCTAAACCGGAGCAGCACAAGCATGCACAGTAGAGCTGCACATGGATCCTGCATCTTCCTGTCTGTTGACCAATAGGAGAGGAGCTGACCCAAGAAGGACTGCTCACCTTATTTACATAATGAGGCAGATAATTTGAAGTAAAAACAGGAGACAGAGAAATGTAAAAGCAACACATGGAAATGAAAAGACTTTTATATAATAATTTAAGAAACAGATGCATGTACAAGTAAAAGGAAAAACAAAAAAATATATATTTTTAAATACAGTAAACACACACACACTTGTAATTCTTTATTAAAACACGGTGCAATACAAAATTCATAGCAATGTTATAGTTTATAAATTAGTTTCAATAAATGGCTACAGCATTTTTAAGACTAAAATAGTAGTTAGTGTTGGTCCTGACCTCACTTGGACTTGGAATCACTCTATTTCTCTTTTAAAGAGCCACAGTCTCTACAACAGATAAAACATCAAAACATCTGAACTTAATTTTTTAAAACTGGATTTTCTTTCTTCCTTGTAGACAATTAGGTTGTTAACAACTCAGCACCTTTAAAAACACAGACTCAAAATAAAAAGGCTGTTTCAGAGGCAATCAGGATTTGCGTGTGAAACAGTTAAACGGGTATCTGGGTAGTTGCATGGCAACACACTCTTGCCCATC